CACCACTTTGACTTCTTCTACGGATACTATGTCCTCCTCTTCCACTACTCCCTGTAACCCACCTTCACTGCATTTTTCTTCCTGGACCAGCTCATCTCCTACCCCAAAATCTCACCCAACTATTCCCATTGAGCAGGCATCACAATCCAACCAAACAACCAAACCATTAAACCCCACTTCTCCAACCAGTCCACCCAGCCCCATCTTCCCTACCAGCCCGTTCCTATTTTTTACCCCAAACCAGACTTCCTCACTGGACAACACTCAGCCACCACACTCCTCAGCTACAACCAGCCCATTGTCCGTGACCACCCCGTTCTCAGAACCCAGCTCCTCTTCTTCGGACAGCCACCCCCCTACACCAACCACCACAACCGTGACCAGCCCCGGAAATCTGACCGAACCGCTGCCTTCCTCTCCTGCTAATGTCCATCCGATGCAAACTCGGGCAAAATCAGGAATTTTTAAACCCAAGTCCATTTTTAATTTAAACACGGTTGTTATTTCAGCAGATCCCACTTGTTATTTCAGCAGATCCCACTTGTTTTTATGAGGCAAATAAACAATTGATATGGCGTAAGGCTATGGCTGAGGAATTTAATGCACTTATTGCAAACCACACTTGGGATTTGGTATTGTTTGATAACTCTAAAAATATTGTTGGCTCTAAGTGGATTTATAAGACAAAATTTCTTTCTGATGGGTCTATTGAGCGCCACAAGGCACGATTAGTTGCTCAGGTTTTTAATCAGCAGGCTGGTGTAGATTTTTCTGAAACTTTTAGTCCTGTTATTAAACTCATCACTGTTCGTACTGTTCTCACTATTTGTTCGAGGCTAATAATTCAATTGATATAGTAATGTGGGCATGTGGCATATTACATGAAGGTGCACATAGCTTAAATTTGCATTTCATTACAAGATCAATATGCGTGACTTAGGATGTTTTTACTTGGACTGTAATTTGCTGGTCTGGTCTGGTCTGATCTGGGCTGGTCTGGTCTGAACTGGTCTGGTCTGATAAGGTCTGGTTTCTTTGTATTTTTATAACTATCCAAGTTTGGTCTGGTCTGGTCTGGACTGGACTGGTCTGGTCTGGTCTGGTCTGGGACAAATTACAGTCCAAGTAAAAACATCCTTACTACTGCCTATTCACACGTAATTTTTTCAACCAAATACTACATGCAGCTTTCTAACTTGGAAAATTGACAAGCACTTTGCCACGGTGCGTCAAAATAAATCAATATTAACACTTATACGTAGTATATGTGAAGTAGAGTTCGTATCCACAGGGAAATGAATAATTTTCTTTTTATAAAACTGGTAAATAAAAGGGGGGTTTTGGGATTGTTGGAATTTAAACACGAAAATGAACGACTTATATGTGATTTAATTCAAGGATAAAAAGGACTTGACATTGCTACTTTCCACTTGTTGATATATTTTAGTCGATCATTGTTATATTTATAACTTATCCCCTCTCGAATACTCAATCGAGGAGTATATCCAATTCATCGAGGGTAGTTATTAACAACGACCGTTCATTAATAACCATTACTATTAATCAAGTATAGAACACCGCCAAATACCAACTTAATAGTAGCATTTAAGCTCTTAATTTCCTTGATGAAATCAATTGAGATTGATAATCTCAACACAACGGTTTCGGATAACCAACAAAATTAATCCCTCTTAAGTTTATTAACCACGACCGTGCATTAATAAACCGAAGTTACTTACTTGTGAATAGGGCTGGACCCGGGCCGGTTCGGGCCTGAGCCCGGCCGGGCCTCGGTTCGTAGATGTTGGGCCCGAGCCTGAACCGGTGGCAACCGGTTTCGGGCTTGGCCGGGCCGGTTCACCCGGTTTTAATTTTTTTTTTGGCTTCTCCTATTTAACCCGCAACCCTCCCCCCTAACCCCCAAACCACCCCAAACCACCTCAAATGACCCAAAATACCCAGCCCAACCCAAAAACTTAAAAAAATTCAAAAAAAAAAAAAATAAATCCGGCCTGGACCGGGCCTGAACCGGCCGGGCCGGTTCACCAAAATGAGGGCCCGGGCCCGGAACCGGTAGCCACCGGGCTGGGTCGACCCCAACCGCCCATGGGCCGGGCCACCGGGCCGGTTCAAACAGTGACCGGGCTGGGCCAGTTCCGGTTCAGGCCGTCCAGCCCGAGTCCAGGACTACTTGTGAAACCATCAACGATTAACCATCGGTTCATCGATCGATTCTAGTAGTAATTAATATATGAAACAAAACTAGTTGATCCTTTAAGTAAAGTTCAAAATATTAATATGAAATATGAATAGGAATTAGTTAATATTCAAGGAAGATTATTAAAGATGATAAATCCTAGTATAACTAATGTCAAGATGTTAACTAATTGTCATCTTAGCAATACTCCCCAACATTAATATATAGAGGAAGAAAATAAATACTACTATAACTAATGTCGAGATGTTAACTAATTGTCATCTTAGCAACACTCCCCAACATTAATATATAGATAGATTAAGGGAATAATTAATATTAAAGAGAAGAAGTTACGAAAATAACTCACAATTTTAATAATCAACAAGCTTCAAGAACAACACCAAGAATTGGATGTTTAGCTCCTCATTTGGAGACTAAAACATGCTAGAAAATATAAAGAAATGCTATTCTAAACTGAGATTAGAAGTATGGAAGAATGAATGATTATTTGTGAAGGAAAAGTGTGCTATTTATAGGTGTTTTTCAACACCTTTGGTTGGGCACCAGACCGGGTCAAGTGCCCACCCGACCGGGTGCATGTCAAAATCAGATAATCTTCCACGTTCTAGTGATCTTCGGCACGTCATTTTGTCCCGGGTCAAGTCAGACCCGACCGGGTGAATTAGGGGACCCGACCGGGTCTGGCAATTTCCTTGCTTCTTCAGTTGTTAAATCTTACCCGACCGAGTGGGGATTTCTACCCGGTCGGGTTTTAGCTCATGGACAGTCCAATCTTTTTTTTCTTCACTTCAAAGTATTCCCTTCCAACACCATAATTCCTAATTCTACTTTACAACTTAAAATGACGATTAAAATACATTTACAACTAAAATCACACAAATGTTTACAAACTAAATAAAACGATAAACAATACACACAAATCAAACACAAAACACACACTTATGCACTACTAATCCGTGCATATAAAAAATTAACACCCATTTTCTTGCTTATTTGAGATCCTATGTAATCCCATAGAGATCCTATGTCGTAGCTTGCTTAGAGTATGTTCCCCGCTTTGAGGCGTTTGTGTTCTTCCCTCTGAGGATGGAGAAGAATAACAAGACTGCTTCATCTCAAAAAAACTGGTACCTTCACCGACAAATATGTAATTGATCCAAAGCAGCCCCAGCCCCAGCCCCAGGTTATGATGAATAGTAAGATGATGGTAAAAGGAAGGTCGATGTTGACATCAACATAGTTCTCACTTCTTGAAGAGGTTGAAGAGATGAGTAGGGAGGAGGAAGCAGTGAACCAGAAAACAGAGGGTAGAATAAATGAAGAACATAAAGAGGTGAGTGCACAGAAGGTGTCTGAGAAAGAGGTACGTGAGTGCACAGAGGTCTTCGGCTGAGATACATATCAACAGAGGAAGATATTCCTGAGTATGAGGGCTATTCATCTTCACACAGAAACCTAGGGAATTAGATGTAAATTGGTAACACATGAACGAGGTTTGGTTGTCTTTCGGATAAAAAAAATGAAGAAGATTGAGCAAAAGTACTTATGGAGGGGCCTAATGTTGTCACGGGGAGAGCACTAATGTTAAAAAATATGCAGGCACAGTTTAGTTATGATGATGAAGAGTTCTTGAGAGTACCCATGTGGACTATACTGCCTCAACTACCTATGGATTGTTGGAAGGAGGAGATATTAGGAAGACCGCTTCAAGAATTGGCTAGCCTATATTCACTCACGGTATTACTAGTGAGTAGTGACAACTGACAAGATGAGATTGGATTATGCCATTGTTTGTAATTGCGCAATGCAATTGCGCCTCATGGCGCGCCTCAGCTAATTCCTGGACTATGGCGTAAAAGGCATTGCATATGGCACTGGGAGTGTGATGTACGCAATATTGCACTGAGGCGTACGCAATATTGGATACGCAATAAGGCGCTCTGAGGCGTACGCAATAGGAGGTCAGGGTGTAAGGGTATTATTTGGGCCCACTCGGCCCACTTTTAAAATTTTATAATTGATCTTATGATCCCTATTTCAAACCAGTAGTTATTGATTGAATTTTTCAGTCAATCAATCTAATTAATTTAAATTTTCATATCTTAGATTTTTGTTTTGATAAATGATTCAGAATGTTTTGGTATTCTATGGTACTTTGAAGTTTGAAAATGTTACTTTGCTTGGCCTCTTATGGTTGTTTTAATATAACATTTGATGACTTTTGACGAATATGTTTATTTTTTATTATGTTTATATATATATAATATATTACGCCTTAGCTATACGCCTCATTGCGCAATGAGGCTTACGCAATATGCAATATTAAAAAAACGCCACGACTACGCAATTCGCAATTTCGAACCTTGGATTATGCTAGAATATTGGTGGGAGTTGATGCTTCTAAGCCTCACACTTTGTCGATATCAAGCTTCCCTTTAGGCAGAATAGAAGACAATTCATCATGTCAAAGGTCTAAAAGTTTTTGCTCAGGTCTAACCAATATATTGTCGTTCTTATGAGTTTGTGAATTTCACACATGTACTATGGGAGAGGTTGCAGACATTTTTGTGGATAGACAGCACAAATTTGATCCCAAGGTGAGAAGGGGATTGAATTGAAGGCATTTTACAGCTGATAAACATAAACTTGATGATAACTTTGGATTAGTAAAGACAAGTTGCGCTCTAGTTGAGGTCATTTGCTTGATATTATGCTTCTCTTTGAAATGGACGAGAATGGAAAGCACGGCGATAAAAGCAAACCTTAAGCTGTGTTAGGAAGGTGAGAGTACAATAAGATACACATTAATAATGGAAAAGAGTAGAGCTGTAGAGCGGCCATAGGCCGCTGTTTTGAGTTTTAGTCATATCTAAGGTAATTATCTCTTACAATAACTTGAGTTCACATCAAGTTGTGCTTTAGAAAAGAAGAGACATGTGTGTAAAGAAAGAAAGAATAAAGGAATAAGGATAGCATTAAACATACAGAATTAATAATGAACCAGGCTTTGATTAGAAAAGCCAAGTTGGGCACAAGAGGTTGGTTCGGATGTCGTCCCCAGAGTAAGGGAGATGGGGAGTGATGAGTTTATCTTCCATATCAAAGACGTAGAGATCCTTTTCTCCGTGTTCAACAAAATAAATGCAGTTTCTTCGTAGATTGGGGACATCAGAGCATATGTGGAGGGAGGAAAGGCAGCCCAAGAGAAGGGTACGCCCATCAAGGCTATTCAGTTCTGCCCATTTTCTGGTGCAGAAATCAAATGTAAAGGCCCGGATACACTCCACGGGATGTGGAGAGCCCCAGCCTCCTCTGCCGTGCCCACGACGAACTTTGACCACCACAATGACCCTGGTGCCGCCGCCGCAATTCTCTGCTGCCAGAAAGCCTTGGCAGCGTGTATAACCCGTTCGTCCGCACGTTAAGCGGAGGGGATGAGGAATTTTACTTTCAAGTTCAAGTCTCGCAATTCCCTCCTCAACCACAATTCTTACCAAACTGGAAGCCCTTAGGCCATACAGATTTCCGCCTATGCTCACCAACGATGAGATTGGCCCCGCTCCCGAATGGGCTAACCTTCCTTCCACGAACCTGTTGTTGTCACCCACACCGCAAATCCCGACAGTGGACAACTCTCTGTTATACACCGCAACAAAGCCGTCGCCGGGAGTAGAAGTGGATGATGGTGATGATAATGAAAGGCAGGCGAAATCAATGAATGAATCGAATTTGGGGAGTTGAACCTTATGGAGCGAATAGACGTTGAGAAGGAAGACGTGTTTGCTGTTCTTCAAATCGTGCACCAGCAACCATCCTCCCCCGCCGCCGTTGGTGTCGATGAGGTATTTGTGTTCCACGAATGCTGATAGATCGGTCTTGTAGGAACGGCTTTCCGAGATGCTGTACAGCACGCCTTTCCTTGAATCATCGTGTTCTCGAAGTAATAGCCTGGGGTGTTGTTCATGACGATGCAATTCTTTCCGCCGCCGCCGCCGCCGGGGAGTAGTCGGAGGAGTATAATACTGCTCGTCTACGATTTCCCTGGCCGCATCGTGACTAATACCCTTAATCTTTTGTTTCAACTTCCCGAGTAACCAATTCAACAAATCCAAAACTGTTTCCATTGACCTATTCATCATGTGCAGCTATCGGTTTAACTCGCTACACGAAAGAAGGAATGAATCAGGAAGATAAAATCTCAACAAAATACTTCGTTTTACCCAGTACTTATTCTTATTATATATACGGATCACCACTCCGACCACTACCTAGTACGAGTAGTACTCCAAGTGTCCAACGTATTTCCATTATTACTACGGAGTAGATAATACGGATTACTTATCGGCAATCCCACCTTAACAAATATAATTACACACAAAAGAAAATTTGTATGTATGACAGACAAATTTAAAATATGTGTGATACAGTTGATTTTTTTGCTTCTGTGAAAATCAATTTTTTTCCTAAAACTTTGATCTAGCTTAAATGTTTTAGTCTGATCCGCTTTAAAGTTTGAAACATTCAAATTTTTATGACATGATTTGATTCAATAAAATAAGAGCGAGCAATAAAAAAAGATACTTTTAAAGATACTTTTAAAACGTCTGGATTTCAAAACGACAATTTTTTATTCAATTTCAATATCAACTTTATAGACCCCATATAAGTTTCTAAATTACGATTCTATATTTGCAATAGGATTATGAAAGTGAGCTGAAACAAAAAGGGATTGTCGTAGAAGTGACACATGCAGTCGCTTTATTTAAGGGAAAATTCCAAAATAGGACTGTCATATTTTTATTCCCAAAATAGGACCAATTACTGCCAAATTTGGAAAATACTGTCATGTTTGAAGTCTGGTACTGCCAAAACATGACAATAATTAGTCCTATTTTGGAATAAAAACATGGAAATCCTATTTTGGAATTTGCAAACTTTTTTAGTCCTATTTCGGGTAATATCTCTTTACTTAAATGTAACTTTCAAATTTATTATCGGGTATTACTCCTAAATGAGATCAATATAATTAATACTATCGTATGATTTTATTTATGATTAAAATTATTTAAAATTATGTAATTTTATTTATGATGATGATGATGATGATGATAATAATAATAATAATAATAATAATAATAATAATAATTAGTAATAATAAAAGAAATATTAAAATCAGAGCTGATCAGAAAGATTCAGATCAGATCAGAAAAATTCAAATCAGATCAAAAAGATTTAGATCAAACAAGATCAAATCAGAACTTTAAAAATTCATAATAAAAGCATTCAGATTATGTGAAGAAGACGACTTCTTAATCCATTATCCTATTGCAATTATCTTTTTATTTAGTCATATTTAAGAAAATCTCCAATATTTGGAGTATTATTCATACATTCCTAATTTCCTAAATATTTCTATTGTCCTACGGAGTATTTTTTAGTTGTACACGAGCAGGATATAGATTCCTAATCCAACCGGTTTTGTTGCTGGTTTATTTATAAAAAACCCATTCATTCATTAATAAAGAGATAATTTTTCTGTTATCCAACCCGGTCTTCTATATCACTCTGAAGATAAAATCCGTCCTTTACACCGCTAGGCATATTATTCTTGCGTTTCAGCAGGCCATCATCCCAGCAATCCCATCATATACAAATACGAAGTATATATTTTTGGTTAAGGTTCCATGAGGAATTTAGGATTGATAGGCAAAAAAGCATTGCCCGCCGGCAGCAGGAAGGAAGACGAAGAAGAGGAAAGGGCAGGCTGGGGCGATCTAAACGAGGAGCTGTTGTGCTGTATTTTGTCGCGTTTGGATGTGATGGGAGATGAGGTGAGCTTTGAGTGCGTTTGCAAACCATGGAAGTTGGCGGCGGCAAGAAGGATGCCGCCGCCACAGGCGGCGTTAGCATCTCATCACGATTCTCCGCCAGCTTTAGATTCGGCGCCGTATCTGATGTACTTGAACCACAGAACTGGGAGGTTCAATTTCCATGACCCGACTCGCAGAGGTGCCACATATTCAGTACGCATCCCTGAACTATTGGGGGATTACCCGGGCGAGGTTGAATGTTATTATGCCAGCTGCGGTTGGCTGCTTCTTCGCAAGGGCCCCAAGACATACTTCCTTTTTAACCCCTACACCATGGATAGAATTGACCTTCCTCCTGTACGTGACATGCCCATCTCATTCGAATCCATGTGTTTCTCTGGTTCGCCCACTTCTTCCTCGTGCAGAATTGTTGGCTTTGTCAGTTATGTCCCAGAACAAGTGGCCTTTATTGGAGAAACAATGGTGGGATGTGATTCTTGGTCCGTGTTTGCCAACACTAGCAACCCAGATGACTTCGTGGCATCCATATGCCCCCCCATTGTCTGTGATGGGAGCTTTTATGTTTTGGGTGAATCTGGGAATTTGGGATGCCTCTGGTTTCGAGCTCCCAAAAAGGGACTGACTGAGGTTTTTTGGGAAGTTATTGGCAAGCCAGCAGATGAACTCTTTGAGACATTCAAAGATCAATTCCTCCTCGAAAGCGATGGCGACATCATGTGCGTGGCAACTCTACAAGGAGGAAGCGAGGTTTGTGTTCTCAAGCTTGATCCACACACTCAAGTGTGGCAAAAGGTGGATGATCTCCAAGGAAAAGCCTTGTACGTTTCTCAATCCGCATCCTTCTCCCAAAAAGCAGTTCCTAGAGGAACTGGTAACAAGATCTACTTTCCTAGATTCTACGACAATAGAGGACTGTTTTATTGCCTGGGAACCAAGGAGTGGCGCAACTTTCCCCATACTTTCTCAAGTACAAACTATTACAATACCAGTGCCTTACTTCATTCTGCCTGGATTGGACTTTCTCCTCATCATAATAGCTAGCTAGTTTAAATCACTTACTGCTCTTGTATAAACTTACCACCAAAATTACTTTGTTTCAGATATTTATCTAATTTTATAATTGCTAAATTTGACCGTTGGTGATCCCGAGTATTCATTATGAGCACGTTTAACCAATTAGAAGAAGCAAAAGGGACTGACATGGTTATCTCCTTTGTTGCATCTGTGACCTTGCTGTGAACCAAAATGATCAGGTCATTGGGACAGTGGAACTCTTCTTAGAAGCGTACCAATAGAAAGAACCAGACACTACTTTGTTCCAGTTCAAAACCCCATTATATTTTCTTAATCTTCTTCTTAATAGTGATTTTTTTTACAGAAGTAAATAAGATACTTTACAGGTAGCAATTTAGAATAAAAGAACCAAATCAAACGAAAAATCTCATAGAAATGCTCTGCTAGAGTTGCTTCTTCAGATCCACGTCACGAAGCTTACCTAGAATTTATCCACCCGATTCGAAGTTATTGGGCAGGCATAAAATGTAACAAATATGGAACTAGAGTTATCGCTGTCCATCTTCCACAAACACTTGAGTTTTACTATGTCTTACGGAGTATTATGTTTTGGAAAAATAGATTCCCTAGAGAGACTTGAATGCTGCTATGTCCTACTATGCTTTAGAAAATAAAGAATTTGTTTGCATAGTACTCCTCCATTCTCATTGAATACTCAACAAGGAATCAGTCCAACCTTTTGTAACTCGACGAGAATTTGCAACTCTGAGCTTCATTTTAGAATTTCTAAGAACGAGAATGTCCTTGGATATTTTTTCAATAACTCAGCGGTTCCGTCATTTTCGTGCTCTTTCAAATCAGTAATGGAAGTCTACATTCCAGAAACACTTGAGTTTTACTATGTGTTATTATGTTTTGGAAAAATTGATTCCTTAGAGAAAATAAAGAATTTGTTTGCATAGTACTCCTTCATTCTCATTGAATACTCAACAAGGAATCAGTCCAATCTCTTGTAACTCAACGAGAATTTGTAACTCTGAGCTTCATTTTAGAATTTCTAAGAAGGAGAATGTCCTTGGATATTTTTTCAATCAAAGTTCTTAATTGCGTAACTCTTGATTATTTTTTGTGATCGGATTTATGTTCAACTAATGTTCTTAAAAATGGTTACTCTAAGATAGATTTCTAATTCCGATTTAATATTTTTTTTTCATTTATGATTAGAAATAGTTGACTTGGGAATATGGTTTAGAATAGGTTATTTACTTTGCGGTTTTTTTTATAAAAGCGGAATCAACTATTATTAATAAAATCATTGTTCAAATACAACAAATATAACTTGGTGGATTATCAAATTAAAACCAGCCATCAGACATAGAAATAGCGCCTAGCTAGTTGCTAGCTAGTTCAACATCAATGTGATCCCATCCAACACTCTTATAGAAAGTGCTTCAGCCTCCTTAGGGAGATTTTCTCCGGGCTTGTGAATAGCTCCCCCGGCTAGAAACAATCCTTCGGGAGACTCGAAACTTAATAAACCCTTTACTGTGATGTCTTCCAGTCCGTGCACCACCTCTGACTCCACTCTCATATTTTCTAAATTCGGTAGCCATGGATCTTTCTAACCCTTAATCAAACTCCCATCACCCACCCTCCAACGAAATCCCTTTTTAACCATCCCTTTAGCCTCCCAAAGACTTCTCCAAATAAAAGAAGGGTTGTGGCCAACTTTAGCCTCCAAAAAAGAATTTTTGGAGAAATATCTAGCGCGAAAAACGGAAGCTTCTAAGCTGTTTCGATTTTGCATAAAATCCCACACTTGTTTCCCTATCATTGCCAGATTGAACTCCTTAAGCTTTCGGAAACCCATACCTCCCTTTGACTTTGGTGAAGACATTCCCGCCCACTCTTTCCACTTTATACCACGCCCGGATGAGCCAGTCCACCAAAATTTATACATTTACCTTTCCAGCTCCGCATAAAGCTCTTGAGGAAATAAGAATACCTGCATAGCATAGCTGGGCATAGACAGCACCACGGCTTTTAGAAGGACCTCACGTCCAGCTCTTGAAAGAAACTTATGATTCCAACTATTAAGCCTTTCTTTAATAAAGGCCAAGACTTCCTTCTTACTCCTTCCCACAAGCGATGGCAGATTTACTTTATGGTTTATTACCTGGAGACTGAACAAGCAGTAGAAAGACAATCACTTTCAATAAGATGAATAAAGGCTTGTTTATTAGCAACATGTGAAGTGCTTCATATGTTGCTAATATTTTTATTTGGAAACTTGATCCATAAGTCGTTGTGATATAACATCTATTTCCTGCTACAAAATTCCACGCTACTACTCCAACTAAAGGGTAGGAGGGAGAAAACAACTTCATTACCGGGTGGACTATTGAAATGCAGCCTGCTACAACTTGTCTACCACTTCAATCCCTAAAGAGGATTTCTCCATTAACCTTATTTCCCCATGCTGCCATGTTAATGGCACAGGAAACATTAAATTTTATAAAATAGAAATATATGAATGAAATACAAGGAACTAGCTACTCTAATATTTAGTGAAGGTTGCAGCATCAGTATTTGCATTTCAAGAGCCAGATATATGCATCTTGGTGTTTGTTTAAAAACACGTACGTGAAACACTATTTTTTTTCTATTATTCTTTTTATAAAACTTCAAGAGCTAGATGTATACTTTTTAAACTTTATTAAGGAAAACCCACCATGTGCCTACAACAATTTTTTATATGTTAATAATAAAATAGAAATAGTGAGTTATATATGAATAAATCCATATGGCAGAAAAAAATGTGACATGTTATACCTATTTTTGAAAATTTTGTGACTATGGTCATGGATACATTTGCAATGTAGTGAACATGATTTTTTACAACTAGATTAAGGGTCCAAGGGCCTTTTTTTTTTACAAAAAAAACTATCATTGATTTAACAAAGCTTTATCAAACAGCTTTTTTTGCTTGTGTTGTGCAATAGTATTTCGTATATGTACAACAATATATGGACACTTTTTGTATATATGCACATAAACACTACCACAAGCATAGGTATGAACCCTCCATAAATTTAGATCTTTTCTCATGCATGTGGAAAGTTCTGCAGAAAAAATCTTTTTATTGACCTGTCTTATTTACCACCCTGCATCTTTACTAAATGCCGGTGTAGCTAATGGGGCAATGTCTTGCTCGGATTCAGCCCCAAGTTTGATAAAAATGTTTTACTTTATTTGTAGATAAAATAACTTTTTTAAAAAAATACCATGGGAATGCATTACTTTATTTGGTCCTTCCAACATGATTATCCCCATCTTACTGTACGATGATTATTGAAATATTGTTTCAATCTTTGATTTTCCTCATCTTACTTAGCAGCGTTATAAATTTGGGACATGTATTTTTTTTTGCTTTTCTAAATTCTCCAATTTCGGTGAAGATTATATAGTTGGGTTGAAATGTTGTTTACAGTTTCTAAGAGTATGATATGATTGTGAAGTGAAATTAACGATCTTGGTTCTATATATATATGCCAAGGTAGTGTGGCAGGCACATTTTCACTTAGTTTTAATCCTAAAATATTTAGGATTTTTTTGCCACTTCAGACTTGTGTTGATTATTTGGCGATTTTTGTCTATTATTGGTTGTTGGCTGCTGATATTTGACTGCTAGTGATCCTGACTATTCATTATGAGAACGTTTAAAACTATTGTTCCCTGCCGGTATTCGTCGACATCAATGCAGTTTTCGTCATTTTAACCAATTAGAAGAAGCAAAAGGGACTGACATGGTTATCCCCTTTGCATCTGTGACCTTGCCCTGAACCGAAATGATCAGGTCAGACAGTGGAACTCTTCTTAGAAGCGTGCCAATAGAAAGAACCAGGCACTACTTTGTTCCAGTTCAAAACCCCATTATATTTTATTAATCTTCTTCTTAATAGTGAATTTTTTACTTAAGTAATTGAGATACTTTACAGGTAGCAATTTAGAATAAAAGAACCAAATCAAACGTAATATGAATCTTATAGAAATGCTCTACTAGAGTTTGCTTGTTCAGATCCACATGTCACGAAGCTTACCTGGAATTCATCCTCCCGATTCGAAGTTATTGGGTGGGCATAAAATGCAACAAAAATGGAACTAGAGTTATCCCTATCCATCTTCCAGAAACACTTGAGTTTTACTATGTGTTACGTTTTGGAAAAATTGATTCCCTAGAGAGACTTGAATGCTGCTATGCTTTAGAAAATAAAGAATTTGTTTGCAAAGTACTCCTCCATTCTCATTGAATACTCAGCAAGGAATCAGTCCAATCTCTTGTAACTCAACGAGAATTTGTAACTCTGAGCTTCATTTTAGAATTTCTAAGAACGAGAATGTCCTTGGAATCTTGGATATTTTTTCAATCAAAGTTCTTAATTGCATAACTCTTGATTATTTTTTTGTGATCAGATTTATGTTCAACTAATGTTCTTAAAATGGTTACTCTAAGATAGATTTCTAATTCTGATTTAATATTTTTTTTCATTTATGATTAGAAATAGTTGACTTGGGAATATGGTTTAGAATAGGTTATTTACTTTATGGTTTTTTTTATAAAAACGGAATCAACTATTATTAATCAAATCATTGTTCAAATACAACAAATATAACTTGGTGGATTATCAAATTAAAACCAGCCATCAGACATAGAAATAGCTGCCCTAGCTAGTTGCTAGCTAGTTGAAGAGAATCTTATTCAACATCAATGTGATCCCATCCAACACTCTTATTGAAAGTGCTTCAGCCTCCTTAGGGAGATTTTCTCTGGGCTTGTGAATAGCTCCCCCGGCTAGAAACAATCCTTCGTTATCTCTGGCAACCCATCCAAGTCCAATAGCACCAGACCCGCGATGGACAGCTTCTTCAACATTGACCTTATTTCAACCTGCCTCATGTCTGACCCAAAACGAGGCAACTGGAGCTACCTGTTTAGCCGTTGAACTCCCCACCTGGGCTCGTCGCCAAGCTTCCAGAGAGGAGTTTGCAACAGCTGCATTTCTGCTTCTCCAAATACTCGAGAGATACATGACAAAGCTGCTGCAAAAATTCTCATACCTGCATCTAAAAGTCCATCTGTCCAGACCACAAAAGACTGCCCTGCAACTTGTAAGTTCCAATATAAAGTTCACTATAAAAGTCACTGAACACTCCATAAAGAGGTGTTCATCACTTTTGTTTTCTGCTGCACACATAACACAAATTGGTGAACAATTAACTCTTTTCATTCTCAGTTTATCCGCTGTCGGAAGGCAACCAGAACACAGCTGCCAAAAAAGGCTTTCACTTTTGGAGGTAAATGTAATCTCCACATGTTTGTCCAAGCAAAGTTCTGTACCACCGCTTCGCTGAAAGTCTTAAAATGATAAGCACTCTTAACCGTATAACGCCCTTGCTCTTCCCAAGGCCAAATAAAACTATCTGGAATTTATCTCAAGCTCACCGGAATTCTAAGAATCATCACTGTCTCTATGATTAAAAAATTCAGAAATAATATCTATGTCCCAGCCAGGAGACTCCAAACATAATAAACCAAACTATGACGTCTTCCCGTCCGTGCACCACTTCTGACTCCACTCTCGGATTTTCTAATTTCGGTAGCCATGGATCTTTCCAAACCTTAATCAAACTCCTATCACCCACCCTCCAACGCAATCCCTTTTTAGCCATCTCTTTAGCCTCCCAAAGACTTCTCCAAATAAAAGAAGGGTTGTGGCCAACTTTAGCCTCTAAAAAAGAATTTTTGGAGAAATATCTAGCACGAAAAATGGAAGCTGCTAAGCTGTTTGGATTTTGCATAAAATTCCACACTTGTTTCCCTATCATTGCCAGATTGAACTCCTTAAGCTTTCGGAAACCCATACCTCCCTTTGACTTTGGTGAATTCATTCCCGCCCACTCCTTCCACTTTATACCACGCCCGGATGAGCCAGTCCACCAAAATTTATTCATTAACTTTTCCAGCTCCGCATAATGCTCTTGAGGAAATAAGAATACCTGCATAGCATAGGTGGGCATCTATGTTGCACGGAAACGCAAAAATCATGAGGAAACGGGAAACGGAAAACGTCAACTTTTGCTCAAAAAAGGCTTATTTGGAGAGTTTCCAAAGAGTTTCCGAGAGTTTCCGAAACGGGAAACACACTCTTTCCCAAGAGTTTCCGTGCTACATAGCTGGGCATAGACTGTACCACGGCTTTTAGAAGGACCTCACGTCCTGCTCTTGAAAGAAACTTATGATTCCAACTATTAAGCCTCTTGATAACCCTTTCTTTAATAAAAGCCAAGTCTTCCTTCTTACTTCTTCCCACAAGCGACGGCAGATTTACTTTCAATAAGATGAATAAATCACTTTCAATAAGATGAATAAAGGCTGGTTTGTTAGCAACATGTGAAGTGCTTCATATGTTGCTAATAGTTTTTTTGGAAACTTGATCCATAAGTCGCTGTGATATAACATCTATTTCCTGCTACAAAATTCCACGCTACTACTCCAACTAAAGGGTAGGAGGGAGAAAACAAATTCATTACCGGATGGTCTTTTGAAACGCAGCCTGCTACAACTTGTCAACCACTTTAAGGGTCCAAGGGCCTTTCTTTTACAAAAAAACTACCATTGTTTTAACAAAGCTTTATTAAACAGTGTTTTTGCTTGATTTTGTGCAATATTATTTCGTATATGTACAGCAATATATTGACACTTTTCATATATATGGACATAAACACTACCACAAGCATAGGTATGAACCCTCCATAAATTTAGATCTTTTCTAATGCATGTGAAAAATTCTGCAGGAAATTATCTGAAAAAAATCTTTTTATTGACCCGTCCTCATTTATCCTCCTGCATCTTTACTAAATGCTGGCACAGCTAATGGGGCAATGTCGTGCTCGGATGCAGCCCCAAGTTTGATAAAAATGTTTTACTTTATTTGTAGATAAAGTAACTTTTAAAAAATTACTATAGGAATGCATTACTTTATTTGGTCTATCCAACATGATTTTCCCCATCTTATTGTATGATGATTATTGAAATATTGTTTCAATCATTGATTTTCCTCATCTCACTTAGCAGTGTTATAAGTTTGGGACATATTTATTTTTTTTGCTTTTCTAAATTCTTCGATTTCGGTGAAGATTATATAGTTGAGTTGGAATGTTGTTTACAGTTTCTAAGAGTATGATATGATTGTAAAGTGAAATTAACGATCTTGGTTCTATTTATATATGCCAAGGTTATATGGCAGGCATATTTTCACTTAGTTTTAGTCCTAAAATATTTAGGATTTTTTTTGCCACTTCAGACTTGTGTTGATTATTTGGCGATTTTGTCTATTATTGGTTGTTGGCTGCTGATATTTGATGCTTTAAATTTCACTTATCTTTCCCAAATTGCTGGAGGCCAATATCTCAATTGATATAGCAATGTGGCATATTTGCATGAAGGTGCACATAGCTTAAATTTGCATTTTATTACAAGATCAATATGCTTATTAGCTTATGACTTACTTCCTATTCACACGTAATTTTTTTATGTTCAACCAAATACTACATGCAGCTTTCTAACTTGGAAAATTAACACCCATTTTCTTGCTTATTTGAGATCCTATGTAATCCCTTAGAGATCCTATGTCGTAGCTTGCTTAGAGTATATTCCCCACTTTGAGGCGTTTGTGTTCTTCCCTCTCAGGATGGAGAAGAATAAGAAGACAGCTTCATCCGAGAAAGCTGGTACCTTCACCGACAAATATGTAATTGATCCAAATCAGCCCCAGCCCCAGGTTATGATGAATAGTAAGATAATGGTAAAATGATGGTTGATGTTGACATCAACACAGTTCTCACTTCTCGAAGAGGTTGAAGAGACGAGTAGGGAGGAGGAAGCAGTGAACCAGAAAACAGAGGGTAGAAGAAATGAACATAAAGAGGTCAGTGCACAGAAGGTGTCTGAGAAAGAGGTACGTGAGGACACAGAGGTCTTTGGCTGAGATACATATCAACGGAGGAAGATTTTGTCAACCTTTCAGACAGCACGGAATGTGATCGCATCTCAACACGGGGTGGGGGATACTGGCTAGTGGGATGCTTTACAGGCACTTTCTCGAGTATGGGGGCTATTCATCTTCTCATGGAAACCTGGGGAATTAGATGTAAATTGGTAACACATGAACCAGGTTTGGTTGTCTTTCAGATAAAAAATGAAGAGGATTGAGCAAAAGTTCTTATGGAGGGGCCTAATGTTGTTACGGGGAGAGCACTAATGTTAAAAAAAAGCAGGCACTGTTCATTTATGATGATGAGGAGTTCTTGAGAGTACCCATGTGGACTATACTACCTCAACTACCTATGGATTGTTGGAAGGAGATATTAGGAAGATCCCTTCAAGAGTTGGCTTGCCTATATTCACTCACGGTATTACTAGTGAGTAGTGACAACTGACAAGATGAGATCGGATTATGCTAGAATATTGGTGGGAGTTGTTGTTTCTAAGCCTCACGCTTTGTTTGTCGATATCAAGCTTCCCTCTAGGCGGAACAGAAGACAATTCATCATCTATGAGACCTTCCCTAATTACCGTTTTCACTATATAGTAAGAAAAAAAGCAATTGGGGAGGATCATATAGTTACTACACCGTAGATTCAATTTGGGAGATTTTAACTCTGGTAGACAGTAGACACTGAGCTGGGGGAGAACAAGGCTAATGATATTGTAAGGGATGATGGGGTACCAGAACCCAATAATATCGAAGGAGCTAACATCTTACCTAATCCTTGTGAGGAAGTTTCTGCTATAGCAAAGGAAACAGAGAAGGTTGCTCAGGAAGAAATACGGGAAAAGGAAACACTATTTATAGCATTTTTCATTGAAGCATCTAACCAAACACTTGGTAGATATTCTGGCTTGGTAGTTTTGGCACTTATCCTCGGAGGATTTAGCCTTAACCCAACAGCCTTGATAGTTTTCCAAACATTGGGGACACCCTACTTATGTGTGAACATATCTTACACAAGTGTTCCAAATATGAAGAACTGTTCCTCACGATTTCAATCACTAGATGATGACTCCACTCCAAAGTAAATTGCTGGATTAATTTGAAATGTAGCTGCAACACCGACCTGAATAGAACAATGAAAAATGAGGAAGGATATCAGGAGAGGTGAACTGGTGAAGCCTATAAAATATGAAATACCAAGTAACAAAGAAACAAATGGGTATGGGCTTGCAATTTTTTAATGTCAGAACGTTTGATCAAATAATAAAGAACATAAACTTTGCCATTAACGAGATGCCCCAGTTTCGAACTAATCTGACTGTTCCCTACTTCCCTATAATTATCACCTTTTACAGGGGTGTCCCCAACATGATTATAATGGAATTTAGAATTCCATTAAAATCTAGGTGTCCTCAACTTGGATTATGGTGGAGTCTCTCAAAATCTAGGTGTCCTCAATTATTCCATGGATTTCATTTAATGTCTAGCTCAATGGGTTTGAATGGATTTCGGTGGAATCTTACAGTACAATAACACATGGTTCATTCCATCAAAACTCTTACCCCAACCCATCGGATTTCGGTGGAATCTTACACTCTATGCACGTACCTTCTTCTTTTCCTTCTCAAACAACCTGCTACTATTTTCGATCATCTCCTTTTCTATGGCTGCTGCTCAATCTTTCTCCTAAAATATGTAGCAGGACTACGATTTTCTTACTTGGTTGACTAGGATTACCATCCACATCTCTCTGCCTAGTTATTTTTACCCTAACGCACCAGGAGAACTACGATAACTACAAATATGAAGTGAATCATGAGCAAAGGTGATGGAAGTAATAACTGCGCTTCGTATATTTTGACGGCACTTCAAAGTTCAAACCCCACCAAATTCCATTGAAACCGACATAATTCTTTAATGCAGAATTCCATAGAATTCTACTACAATCTTATAGAATCTATGGAATTCTATTGCAATCTATGGAATTCTAAATCTTTTCAAATCATTTAAAATCTATGTTGGGGACACCCCCTTTAGTGTGTCTTAGGGGTGGACTCGGTCTGGTCTCGGTTTCCCATATCTAAGACCGGAATCGACCCAGACTAATATGGTTCGCGGTCCCGGTCTCGGTCCCGGTCCGGTCTACCCGGCCGGTCGTGGGTTGGTCCGGCCTTGTTTTTTTGAACTGAAATTCACACATTTAAAAAACAAATGTATATTCATTACAAACACTACATTGATTTAGAGTAGTAACACATTTATAAATTACAATTGAAAATGTAACTAATACGTAGTATGATCAAGTGTGTTTAGTATGGGTTGGGATATTAGGGCACAGCCTATCCGCCCAAGTACAGGCCCAATATTCCTAAGGAGCCCAACTTTTACACCGTCCGTCAAACAGATAAACCAGCACAGGAAGAGCTGCACGGCCTATGCCGAACGGGTATGACCGGATGGTCCAATTATACCACTTGAGCCATTTCTTCCCATTGCTGAAAGCGGGCCATGGCGGAACATTCAAGATAGTTGGCGGGAATACTCATAATTGACGGGAAGCGCATTTAGTGCAAGGGATATGGAGGATTTTATGGTTGAGAGAGCATCCACTCATGATCGGCCACGTCATCCTCTCCAACTACTACTTCATAGTATAAATATCATCACTTATTTCATTGTAAATGATTAGCAATTTGATACTCTTAACATTATACTTCTCTCTAGGCTGCCTGAATATTCCCGTTCGCCAGTCTACATGTAATCAGACTATTTTCTGGAACAGGATTGGATTACTTGCAGTGATTTGTTGCTTCTACACTTGTACCATACGTGTATCTTAATCAGATCATTCCAACGATATCCAAATGAGTGTGTTGGGCCTTTAGACTTAGAGGAATAAACCTCAACAAGAGATTATAATTAATTATATAATATGATACGTATATAATATATACTGAATATGAATATACTCCCCGCTTCCTTAATAACTTTGCCATGTGTGACCGGCACGAGGATTAATAAAGTAAAAACTGTGTGGTTGAGGTTTGTGCAGAGGAGAGAGAATTAACAGGAATCACAAATTCTTTGCCAAAAAGGAAAACTGACAAAGTTAACAAGACATCCAAAAAAGGAGAGTTGACAAAGTTATAAGAGACATGGGTATTAAATATGGAAGTATAGGAGTAGGAATGTAGGATTAGAGCATCCACATTCATGCTACTATAATAATCCGATTATTTAATGACCTGTAGATTTTTACAAAATAATCTCAAACCTTTAAAATTACATCATTCATCATCTCCAAATAATCAGATATTTTGTGGTTCTGCACTGACTAATTAATACGGAGTACTAGCTTCACAATAATCTTGAAATGATCAGGATTCATATTTCAATCCCGGATTACTTTATCAAATAATCTCACCAAATAATTTTGGTCACCCAATCATGATTCCAAAATTAATCCCCCACATCACCAACTTAATCCTCTAATTATCCTATGGATGGAGATGCCCTTAGAGAATATAAATAATTATATAGTATAATAACTATATAAAGACAATTATAATATGATTATATTAAAGATGAAAGCGTAGGAGTACGAATGTAGGATTAAAGACGTAACACCCCAAAATGTGATCTAATAGTTAAGATACATACAAATAATTTTCTTGATATTATTACCCTATCAAATTAAACATCTATCTTCTCCTATTAGATCGTTTAATACTTTTCATGACATGCATCTTCTTTGAAAGAAGTTTCTAAGCAATTTAAATCAAATGGGAAACAATAATGTGTCCTAAATAATAGATAAAGTTTGTACTAATTTTTATTTTTGGAAGAAAAGTTTGTACTAAATTGATAAGGCAATACGGGTAGCTCCAATTAAAAAATAAAATAAAAATTTTCATTTGATTAGGGATGAGCAACCAAATAAATGTCTATTCATACAAGATAATTGACATCTCAAACAAGCCAGGAGCCACATTGTTTTGAAGGAATAGTTAAATCAAGGAAGACATGCTAAATTAATATAATGGACACCGAAACAAATGAATAGTAGCCAGCACAGCTCATGGTAATCGGATGCTTAGCTTGGCTGTTGGGACTCAAAAAGCTGAAAACCAAAACGCTGGAGGGGGCAGCGTTTAGATTCGGCTGGTCCTTGACAACCCCTCCATACCCTTCTGAGGTGAATGTCCATTGTCGTCGTTTCCTCTTAACAGCGTCCCTGACTCCCTGGTACAAATTTTCAACAAAGCTCTCGAATCCTTTATTTGTGTTACACCCAATTTAATGAAACAAATGAAAAATTGGAAAAATGAAGAAGAGACTCCCATAGAAAAAAATGGGCTGCTACACCAGATCCCAAGTGACTGATGAAATCCAGATTTGCTTATGAGTTTTCGATCCATCGGAAATCAAATGATAAACAAGGAAGAAGCAAAAGAAGAAAACAGAGTAGGAGAAACAAACCGATGAAATCCTGATTTACTCTACATTCGTTTTTAATACGGAGACTCGATAATGCGCATACTTTTTTTTTACAAAACTGTGTGCATTTTTTTATTAATTTTAATTGTTTTTTTTAATTAAATACCAGATCAGACCAAACTTGGGTAGTTATAAAAATATAAAGAAATCAGACCAGACCAGATGAGACCAGCAAATTACAGTCCAAGTAAAAACATGCTAAATTGTGGGGAGGACTACTAGACATAAATTACTGATTTTGATCCATGAGAGCATGCAAATAAAGAATTTATACGCACTTTTGGTTTCTTTTTCAGTCCCGGCCTTTGATTGAAGTAAAATGATTTATACGTACTTTAAGTAAATGTTGGTAATATTATTTTAATATGCCATAGCTAAAAATAAATAAAATACTTATGTCCTTATATGTCTTTTTACATGCAAACAACTATTCTGAAACAACTAATTTATCAAACATTTGTAGACAAAAGGCTAACATAATCCGCCAACTAAAATTGTTGACACAACCAGCTATGGTCAACCAGCTGTCATAACCAGCTAATAGCTAACTGCCAATAGCTGATTGCCAAACAAGGCCATTACTGAGAGAGCGACAAGAAGAAAAGTACTACATGGAGGTTATCATAACAATAAAATTTTAGAAGAATCTATATATATGTACAGTACGCTCCCGCTCTCATTTTATTCAGGTTATACTTTAATATTGTCAGACTAGTATAATTTCTCTCCCCGTTCCTGTTATGTTATGTTATGAGGATGAGAAATATTATACGTAGTACGTAGTATAAGCCTAGAAATATTTTGTATGCTTAGAATATGTGTTGTTTACTTTATAATGCAATAATAATTGTTCTTTAAATACATTTGATATTAATTAGTTACGACCTAAAAGAAAAGAAAAAAAATTTACTCCGTATAACTTTAAGACCATCTCCAACAAACACTAAATCTTTCTCCAAAATGGGGAATTTGTCATTTTTTTTGCTCCAACAGTTGCACCAAATGTTTCACCATTTCACCAAAATGGGGGAAGGGGCTTTTGTTTACGCCATATATGCACGACCGAACCTACATGTTAGGCAAAGAGGCAATTGCCTTAGGCCCACAATTTTGGGAAAACAATTAGCGCCCAAAAATATATGATTTTCCTTTATATATATACCCATAACTAGTAGGCCCAATTTGAATTTGCAACTTCCCAAATTCCAACTTCAAGCTTTGAAGAGTTCTCTGATCTAGAAGAGACGAAGACGTTAATTCATTCCTTTCCCGAATATAATCCCATTATTCTAGGTAAGTAATTAAGTATAAATGTTTTTAATGTTTATTTTTTTAGGATGCTTAAGGCCTAATTATACTATTCGACTCAGACCAAAAAAATCCTAGGATCGACAGTGCATATATGGCGCAGGATCTGGTGATGCACCATCTTTTTTTTTACCTTGGCAATAAAGTGTGTTTGCAAAATATATCTATGTGCTTGCTGTTCTCTAGGCTTTTGATATACGGAGTAGTGGAGTACTACGTAACTCTTTATTCTAAAGAGATTTATATATACTTAAGAATATTTTTATCTGTATATCCTATATAATTTTAAGAGTAATATTGGTAATCCCATCCGTTTGTGCATTTATAATTTGTACCTTTATCGATTATAGATTTATAGTAGTATTTTAGTTTGTATTTGTGAAATAATGAGTGAAATGTCAAAATCATATTAAATGAGGGCTATTGTATAAATATATGATAATTAGATAATTAAATATAAAATGGTAAAAAGTTAGTAAAGAAATAAAAAGAATATTCCTTTTTAGTGATAAAAATGGTGTAAACTGTTGAAGATAAAGTTCACACCATTTTAGTGCAAAAAATGGGATAAACTGTTGCAGATGGCCTAAGTAGCCGTACTAGAGCATATCTAAAATAAAACCTGGATTTCTTAAAATTTGTGTTTGTAAACCTAAATTTTGTAAATAATTCAAAGTGCAGGGATAATTATTAGATTGAGTATTTAATTTAAACCCAAACTACCCTCCCTTTATCCCTGCCACTCCGTGTAACTAAGCTTTTTTGTTCTGTAAACCTTATTGCTTTCTTTTTAGTCTGCCATGTTCATATTTCTTCGTCCAATATAATTATTCCCATCATTGCTCTTCACTCCAAACCCTTCCCTCTCGATTATCATTCTTCATATAGTTCACTAATATAATGAAGACATAATTAGAAAGATTAATTTGTTTCCATTAAGAGTCTAAGGGAATAAGAGATAAAAATTTTCCCAGAGTAATAGTGCATATTTCATGATGAAAAGAATGAGTGCACTATTAGAAAATTTTAATATTTT